CAGCAGCTCCCGACCCCATATTTGTCCAAAACTACAGGACAGAGGAAGCCTCCCCCTTAACCCAAACACACCCAAACTGAAACCATGGGATGGGGGAAGCTCCCCCAATAGCTCCCTGTCCCCAGCAGATGCCCCAGGGCAAGGAAGCCCAGTCCCCCACAAAAATTGCAGACTGGCAAGGGAAGCCCCTGTGCCCAAGCCGACTCTCTATCAGAAGCAATAGGGAGGAAGGGAGAAGACCCCAGCGCCTCCCATTTGTCCACTATGGAAGTGGGGAGGGAGGGCGGGCAGCATGGGAAGCCCCAGCACCCAGACCTGCCTGCAGACCTGGGAATGAAGGAATTCTCACCGCCTGCTGCAGCCCTGGAGCTGTGGCAGGGGGGGTCAAGGATGGTGCAGAAAGGAACAAAAGGGGTTAAAGGGCTATTGTGGGGGCAGTGAAATGAAGAGCCCGTAGGTGCAACAGGGGTAGGCCCCAACCCCAGGGAAGGGGCAGAAAGAGGTGGGGGGCACAGGCAGAAAGGGTGGGGAGCCTCTCACTTGCTTTGGACCTTAGTCTACCTCCAATTATGCTGGCACAAACTCACTGAAGATAACAAGGTTGCACCAGCGTAACAAACAGGAATCTGAATAAAAAATAAATATATTGGTGACAACTCACATAATTACAAAAATCATAAAGGGAGACTAAAACTGCTTATTCTTGCCCAAGGGAGAAGTTATAATTGATCTGATCTCGAAAGGGACAGAGTGCTCATTTTAGTGGTGACTACTTCAGTACAAACCTATGACATGTGAGAGAGTTCGCTCGAGGTCAGCATTTTTTGTTGTTTGCATACACCAGAAGTTTATTGTGAGTTGTTTAATATTAAACTACAGCAAGGACTCTACTGATTCAAATGATTAAATGTTTGACATAAAAATGACATTACCAAGTTTAGCCTACACAGAAATTGGTTCCCAATGTCATGCAGCTAAGATTGCTGGGTCCCTTCTCTATGCCTACAATGTAGCTGCTTAGTGCTGAAACACTAAGCTATAAGAAATGCCTAGGAGAAAGGTGTGGCCTATGAGCACTCCTCAAAGAAATTTAAGCATCTGCAGCTCTTGCTAGCTTTCAAAAGCAGAGACGCAGCTTCTGGGACCGGGTGTGAGCCGCGACAGCTGAGTCCCAGCTTGTGCCCGGTCCCCCGTTGCGCACCAGCACCATGGAGATGGTGCTGGGGGAAACCAGCTTTTAAGCTGGCTCCCCCCAGCACCGGCTCCTGCTCCCCAAGTAGTGACTCGAATTTAAGCATCTGCAGCTCTTGCTAGCTTTCAAAAGCAGAGACGCAGCTTCTGGGACCGGGTGTGAGCCGCGACAGCTGAGTCCCAGCTTGTGCCCGGTCCCCCGTTGCGCACCAGCACCATGGAGATGGTGCTGGGGGAAACCAGCTTTTAAGCTGGCTCCCCCCAGCACCGGCTCCTGCTCCCCAAGTAGTGACTCG